GAATGTGGGTGGAAGAGGCCTGAGGGCATAGAATGGAGTTTCCAAGGCTGAGATCCCCAGGAATTCCCGAGGTGGAAATACCCGAGTAAGGCTGATTCGGTTGTGTGAAGGTTCAAGTGGCGATGGCGCTCTTTGGCTGGATTCCAGCAAACGACCACTCTGACGGTCGCAGAAGGTTCAAATGAGTGATGCGAAGAGCTCCTAGCGCCAGATGGCAAACGACAGGTGGTTGGTGAGTGAGTCTCGTTTCGCCCTTCGAGTTCGCACGAACTTTCGGTTCGTCGTGTGTGCTGCGAAGTTTCGTGACGCTGGTGCATCTCCAAAATACAGCCTACGTGGAAATTGAGAGCCAATCAAGGATCTGTGTTTTGAAACTCGCAACCGTTCAGGTTAGCGGTCTGTACGGATTGCTGATCTGTCAGCCAATCCCAAATACCTTTTACGCCCCTGACCAAGAGTATGGGTGAAGGGGCCCAATGGCAGAACAAGAGGTGTCTCCACGGGCCACGTCGCTCATGTGCTGACGTGGATACGTGAAGAGATCCTGACCACGAGGTTCATGATCGAAAGATGGTTGACACTTTACAGCCTCAGTACACTCGCACATTAGATAAGTGACAATAAATACAATGAAACAAATAATGAAGTGATTGGTTTGATTCAAGCAGTCTTGTAATCAGACGCGGCAGGCGATTCTACACTATCCTTGACCTCGAACTGCAAGCTGCTCGTGGCGACAACGACATCGCGAGCCTTGGCTTCTCTCTGAACCGTCGTCGCAGGGAGAACCACCCGAGTCGGCGCCTCCACTCTCATCTCCATCCCTTCGAAACACATCGCAATAAGTGGCCGGCCAGAGAGCACCTCAACCACCACATCCTGGCTCTTCCTGCCAGCAGTCTGCTCCTTGGATGAAGTCACAGAGTCACTTAAAGCACCAGCAGAGCTGGTGGGAGAGGTCTGTCGGTAGGCTGGGCTGATGCGGGTGGTGGCAGGCGGCATGAGGCTCACCCTGTAGGTGGATGGGAGTGAAAGAGCGAAACAGAACGGGGGAGAGGGGAAAATGCGGGGTGATTTGTGTTTCTGTGCAGGCACGCATACGTGGGAGTGCAAGATTTTGTGTGGGTATGTATGTCTCTATTATCAAAAGGTTGCATGGTGAGAGACTGAATGAATCTCAGGAACCACATAAGCTGTTGCTTGCAAGGGAAACAAGAAGCAAGGCCAAACAAAACAGCACACGACCACTGGACCTGAAACAACCTGGTCGATTAATGAGGTGAAACGGGGAAGACTAACCAGCAGGAGAGGTCGCACGAGTATTTGAGGAGAGCAGGCTGAGCCTCCGTGCGGCCACTGGAGACAGGGGTTGTGTGGACAAGAAAGGGTGACATGGGCCAAGGCGGAACGGTAGGGGCAAGTAGTAGGTGAGGGCAAGTGGGTGGACGGGGTCATGTGCAGGCGGCTCTGAGGAGAGCAGGCTGAGCCTCTGTGCGACCACTGAAGACAGGGGTTGTGTGGAGGAGAAGAAAGGGTGACATGGGCCAAGGCGGAATGGGAGGGGCAAGAAAGAGGCGGACGGGGTCACGTGCAGGCGGCTCTGAGCAGAGCAGGCTGAGCCTCTGTGCGACCACTGAAGACAGGGGTTGTGTGGACAAGAAAGGTGATGTGGGGTAGGTCGGTACAGGAGTGGTGGGACGCGGCAGAGATGAATGAGCAAAGAAGATTGGGCAGGGCGGAATGAGCAGGCTGTCGTGAGGAAGAATGGGTGGAAGAGGGTTGAGCGGGAGCATATGCTACTAATAACCACGATCCTCCTGGTCATCAACACAAGCTCTTTCTGGACTGGTTACCACATTGCTCATTGCCATAGAATTTATGCAAGGAGCTGGTTACCATAACATGGTTACCATGATGCTAGTTACCACAGAGCAAGCTCACCTGAACTGGTTACCACAGTGCAAACTCACTCACCTTGTAAGGAAAAACCCTTTTCCTTACAGGGGTTTACTCAACCGCGTACAACCCCAACTTTCGGAAGTGCACGATCGGCCACTTTGCTTGCTGCCAGAGCAACCTCGCGTCGCCTTCGGCCTTTCCTTTGCCCAACCTGCACCCAACCTCGTGTTCCCGAGGTTCCCGCCTAGCTAGGTTGGCCCACTATATTAGCGCGTGCCTTCATTGTATTGTCAGTTCATTGAGTCACATCTTCGTTATTCGTTATTCCGCGCACTCTCTTTTACAACTCATAACACCTGGTATCAGAGCTACTTTCCTAGTTCACCCCGCTTTTCGAGGGTAGTTTGGTGGCACGGGTGTGGTCGGTATAGTGGACTACACGACGGTTGGCTGCAAGGTTTGTTAATTCAATCCTGCCCGACTCCGATAGTTCGTGTTTTTCACTCACCGGAAGGCCACGGATACCCCTCTGCCCACCAGACGAAGCGTGCGACTCATGGACCAGGAGAAGTTGGACGAAATGTTGGCGCAAATGGCAGCACTACAGGCAACAGTGAAGACCCTATCGGCAGAAGTGACAACACTACGAGGAGAAAACGCCGAGCTACGCCAGACGCGAGGTGAAGCGCGTCAGGAGTCGCCCGATGAAGAAGGCGAGGGCAACAGTCAAGCGGTGAGCAACCCGTTGGACGCGCTCACACGTGATTTTGAAGAAGAGGATAGGCAGCGAGCGGCAGCGACGCCAATTGCAGTAACGACGATCAAGATTAAACCCGTCAACCCGCCCCCGTTCAACCCTACGGACAAGACTACTACAGTGAAGGGGTGGCTATTCGGCGTTGAAGTCTTCTTCACTGCAGCAGGCGTGAACGACGATGCCACGCGTATTAATCACGCGGTTTCGCTTCTTCGAGGCGCAGCGCTTGAGTGGTGGCGCCGAACCTTGGACACGGGGACCCCGACAGGTGTGACACATGCGGCAGACGGGACTTCAACGACGGTTAATCAAGTGGCAGCACCGATATTCGGCGTGACCAAGATACGCACGTGGAAGGAGTGGGGCGCAGCCTTACGAGATCGCTTCGAGCACATATCCGGCTCGGAACAAGCTCGCATGAAGCTGCGTACCTGGTCGCAGTTGGCATCTGTCCAAGACTACACAGCAAATTTCATGGCCCTCGCCGACCAAGTGTACGACATGACGGAAAGCGGAGCGGTTAGACAAGTACGTCAGCGGCCTTAAATACGAGATACAGTATGAGGTGCGCCGATGCCGCCCGACATCGTTCCTGGAAGCAGCACGGTTGGCAGAATCCACGGACGCGCTGATGCAGTACGCGAGGTCGAGTTTCCGGGAGGGAAATCGTTTTCGCGGCCAGACCTAACGGGCCACGATCAACGGAGTCCATGCACCAGACCGCCCCTACACAGGGTTGTGTTATAAGTGCGGGAAGCCGGGTCACAAATATGCAGACTGCCCCGAGAGAACGCCGGCGAAGAGGAACGACGGGAAAGAGTCGGGAAATGGGAAGAGTCAGTAACAGACGGGCCCCTTACTGACTATGCTCTGTCGCCCGAACACCATCATCCCCACCGAGTCGTGGTTCCGATTCATGCAATCGATCGCACTCGGCCGAATAACGGGGATAACCATGTGGATCACCCTGTGCTGGTCGTTGGCAAAGTGTTAAAAAAAAAACTTGAAAATGTTCGTCGACGGAGGGGCCAGCCATAGCCTTTTCAACTTGGCGACAGCAAAAAAATGCAAGCTGCAACTTGACAGGTGTCTGCCCTAAATCGACGCTCGCCTCGTGGATGGGACGCCTCTGGCGATTTTGGAAGAAACACGGACGGTGCGGATCGAATGCGGCGACGATTTCGGCTTCAGCATGAAGTTTCTCGCGACAACGTTGGATGGCTGCGACGTGCTGCTGGGACGTGATTGGCTGCGACGGCACAACCCCGTCATCGATTGGACAACGGGATCGTGCAGCATCAGCAAGCACGAGGGGCTAATTGAGCTTCCTGCATGGACACCTGACTACATCCAAGCCCCGTGCGTCAAAGCCATCACTATTGCTCGCCACTTCAACCGAGGCGCGCAACTGTTCGCCGTATGTTTGCGCGAGTTGGCAACCGACACCGACGGAAAGGACACCGAGAAGCTGTGCGCAGCTGTACCACCTGATTTAGCGGAGCTGATTCGACAGTACCCGAACATCTTCCCCGACGATTTGCCACCTGGACTGCCACCAGAACGCCCCGAAGACCACAAAATCCAGCTGGAGCCTGGCGCGCAGCCGACTGTTCGTACACAGTGGCGGTTGACCCAACCGGAACTCGAGGAGCTGCGACGACAAATTGAGGGACTTTTGGAGAAGGGGTTTATTCGACCCAGTACATCTCCCTTCGCAGCCCCGATCCTGTTCACGCCGAAAAAGGATGGCGGGCTTCGCATGTGTATCGACTATCGCGCGCTCAACCGGGTGACCATAAAATCTCGCTACCCAATCCCACGCACCGACGACCTCCTCGATCAACTTCGCGGCGCTCGCTACTTTTCGAAAATCGACTTGCGTGGCGGTTACCACCAGATTCAGGTCTTCGCCGACGACTGTCACAAGACCGCGTTTCGCACCCGCTACGGAAGCTACGAGTTCACAGTGATGCCGTTCGGCCTCACAAACGCGCCTTCGACATTTCAACTGACCATGAACAGGATTTTCCGAGAATTTCTCGACAAATGTGTGATCGTCTACTTGGACGATATTCTGGTTTTTAGCAGGACAAGGGAACAACACCTCCGAGACCTCGACGCAGTGTTTAAGCGGTTGCAGGAGAACCGCCTCATCACCAAGGGCTCTAAGTGCGAGTTTTTTAAGCAGGAGTTGGAGTTTTGGGGGCACGTCATCTCACGCGTCGGCATTAAGGTCGACCCGGCGAAAATCAAGACTATTCAGGAGTGGAAGTCCCCGACTAACATCACGGAACTTCAGAGTTTTCTGGGCTTCGTGAATTACGTCAGGCGGTTTATCCCGAATATGGCGGGGATAACCGGCCCGCTGACCGACCTGCTGCACAAGGACAGGAATCTTGTGTGGGGGGAGGAAGCTGAGGCGGCTTTTCAGGAGTTGAAGAATTTTCTCGTTTCCCCTCCGGTTTTGCGAATCGCCGACCCATCGAAGCCGTTCGAAGTCGTCACCGACGCCTCAGATTTCGCCATCGGAGCTGTACTCCTCCAGGATTTCGGGAACGGGCTGCAGCCGATCGCCTACGAGTCACGCAAGCTGCAGTCAGCCGAGCGCAACTACCCGATACATGACAAGGAGATGCTCGCCATAATACACGCGTTCAAACTGTGGCGCTGCTACTTGGTGGGCGCCGACGTCACTGTTCGCACGGACCACAAGTCCCTACAGTACCTGCGAGCTCAGCCCAACCTCAACCCGCGACAAATTCGGTGGCTGGACTACATGGAGAGTCACTTCACCTACCGCATCACGTACAAGAAAGGGGCGAATAACATCGCCGATGCCCTTACTCGACCGACAGTTCAATCCGCTGCAGTGCTCATCACCCATTCGAACCCGCTACTTACGGGACTATTCACCCACGGCTACACTACGGACCCGTTCTTCACGACTGGGAATCACCAGCAGGCGACGACGCAGAAGGGGAATTATTATCTGAAGGCCGGAACTGACCGGATTTGGGTTCCCGCTTACCGACTGCTGCGTGAACTCCTCATTCAGGAGGTCCATGATTCTAACCTCTCCGGACATTTCGGGGTTGATAAAACCCAGAAACTGTTGCACCGTCAATATTATTGGCCTGATTCTGCTAACGACGTGCACCGATATGTGTCCTCATGCAGGGTGTGCCAAGCCATGAAATCGACACGTCAGCGGCCAGCTGGACTGCTGCAACCCCTCGAGCCACCCGAACGACCGTGGCAACAAGTGACGATGGACTTCGTCACGGGGATGCCAGCTGGGCCGTCCGGCAACGACGCTGTTCTCGTCGTCGTCGATCGCCTCACAAAAATGGCGCACTTCGCACCGTGTCGCACAACCATCACAGCCGAAGAAACTGCGCGCCTCTTCATCTCAACCGTCGTGCGACTGCACGGAATCCCCGCGTCGATCATCAGCGACAGGGACCCGAAGTTCACGTCGAAATTCTGGAAGGAGACGTGGGCGCAGTACGGCACGAAGCTACAGTTTTCATCGGCATACCACCCGCAAACGGACGGCCAGACCGAGCGCACCAATCAGACTATGGAGCAGCTGATCAGGACAAACTGCTCCGACCCCACTCGCTGGGAAATCTCGCTCGCCATGCTGGAGTTCGCGTTCAACAACGCCCCGTCCAGCACGACTAATCACTCCCCATTCTTCTTGAATTACGGGATGGACCCGACGGTGCCTACGACGACTACACTCGACAACCCGGTCCCGAGGTCACAAACATTTGTGACGGAACTTCAGGAAGTTCGCGAAAAGGTTGCGGATGCAATTCGCAAGGCGAATACCACTTCCCGTAAATACACCGACCTTCTACGACGGGAACTCGTCCTGGCAGCTGGGCAATTAGTGCTACTTGACACGAAGAACCTGCACCTGCCTGGCCCATCGAAACTCCGGCCACGATTTTGTGGGCCTTTCAAGATCATCAAGATGGTGACACCTGTCACCGCGAAGCTGCTGCTACCCGATGATTGGCGTATACATGACGCCTTCCATGTCAGCCTCCTTCGCAAGTTCGTGCCTGCCACGACAGACATCGCGCGCCAGAACGCCGCCCCGACAGCCCGACCTGTCCCAGAACCGACACTTGACCCGTCCAAGATTTTGGCGCATCGTGTTCGGCTCGACGCTTCTGGACGCCACGTGGATTTTTTAATCCGCTGGACTGACCGCACCAGTGAGGACGATACTTGGGTGCCATCCGCCTCGCTTGAAGCTTCTCCGCTTCTTGGTGATTACCTCGCCCGCAAGCGAGCTGCGGATATCGACCACCTTTCTTAAAGGGGGGGGTAGTGTAAGGAAAAACCCTTTTCCTTACAGGGGTTTACTCAACCGCGTACAACCCCAACTTTTGGAAGTGCACGATCGGCCACTTTGCTTGCTGCCGAAGCAACCTCGCGTCGCCTTCGGCCTTTCCTTTGCCCAACCTGCACCCAACCTCGTGTTCCCGAGGTTCCCGCCTAGCTAGGTTGGCCCACTATATTAGCGCGTGCCTTCATTGTATTGTCAGTTCATTGAGTCACATCTTCGTTATTCGTTATTCCGCGCACTCTCTTTTACAACTCATAACACACCTGAAGCTAGGGAGCGACATTTTGATGGAGGGCAGGCGGGAGACAGCTGCGAGCTCTGATGATGCCATGGGGAGAGATGCACACACAAGCACACACACATGCATGCACGCACACACACATACAACACACACACATACAACACACAAACAACACACACACATACAACACACAAACAACACACACACATACAACGCACACACACACGACACACAGGTTGAAAACGGGGGGGGGAAGGGGGTGAGGTGGTGATTTGTTAACTGAGACCAGGAATTGACCGAGAGCAGAAAGTTAAGCATCAGAGACCAAAACATGTCAAAAGGAATACACAGACACACACACAGGAGACGGAAATCGCCCATGTGGTGTTACCGTTACGCCAGAGGAGAGCTGTACAAGCCAAGCCTTCCAGGATGAATCTGAGGATTTCAGGTGTTTCTGAAGGTTTTCAACTAGTCTCAAAAACACCCAGAACAAGTGAAGCCAGTATGCAAGCTGTAAAGGCCTTTCTTCCAAACAGGGAACGTCCCTCGTACCTCGAGCGGATGGCAGCTTCATGTGCAGTTCAAACATGGGTGCTCCGTCTCTCACTCTTCACTTTTCAGCTTTCCTTCATTATTCTTCCAAACAAACAAAGAAAGGAAGGCACTCTCACCTTTGAGCGAGGGCACCTTCATGTGCAGTTCAAACATGGGCTCTCCGTCTCTCACACTCCCCACTTCCTCCCCCTTGCCCTCCTTCGCCCGCCCTCCTCTCCCTCCTCCCCTTCCTTCTCTCCCCTCATCACACACAGTGACCTGCAGGAACCCCCCCTCTCTGCTTTCTCCCAGCCCCTGTGTCCGCCCCTTTCCCCAGGGGTTGACGAATCTGGAGAGCAGTTGCAGAGGAGCCTTGGCGAGAGGGTTAGGTGCATGAGAAGAGGAGGAGGAAGAGGAGGAGGAGGATGAGGATGGGGCACTTGAATCGTTCAGTGGAGGGGTGGAGGGAGAGGAGGGAATGGAGTTGAGAGGAGAGGTCTGTGCGACGGACTGAGGCGATGGCAGCAGCTTCTGCACACCATAACACAACACATGGGAAAATGGTGGGGCGAAGGGAGCACACAGGGTGGGGCGTGGGCAAGGTGGGGCATGGGAAGGGTGAGGCATGGAATTTTCCAGAATAATGTGTTATGGGAAGAAAGCATCACATATAACAGTGGAGATTTGCGCGTGAATGTGGGTGCGTGCAGGCATGCATGTGCGCGTGCGTGTGTTACGAGCATGCACGTGTGCAGATGTGTTGAAACTCATCCACACCACCCAGGCAGTACCTTGTTGAATGAGACGAATCGGCTTGGCAGCCCAACCTCCTGCCGTTGGAAAAGAAAGTGAAAGGAGTGGGAGGAGAATTGATTGAGTGAAAGTAGGGCGGAAAACACTAAAAAGGTACAAAATACATAAAGCATCAAACAAAATCAACAATTACGAGCATCAAAGCGGCAAGCATTGCACAATCACTCTGTAAGAGCCCACCCGCACACCTTGATGCCATCATGGTCCCGGTGGTCCCTGTCCATCACCACTGCAGCCTGCCTCTCTTGAGGCACACCGTGATGGGGCCGCACACCGTGATGGGGCCGCACACCGTGATGCCATCATGGTCCCTGTCCATCACCACTGCAGCCTGCCTCTCTTGAGGCGCCTAATGTCTCACTTTCTGAGGAGCCTAAGAGATCAGCCCACACACATCCTTAAGATCGACCCACCCACACACCTTGATGCCGTGGTCTCTGGCTGAAGCACTGTCCACCATCACTGCTGCCGCCCACCTGTTGCAATCCAATCATGCAAACCCACATAATAAGTGTGGAAAGTGGTGGCTCATGCATAGGAGAATGCGTGGAGGGTGAGGGAGGGGGTGGGGCCATGGTCTATGGCTAAGGCACTGTCCACCATCACTGCTGCCGCCCACCTGTTGCAATCAAGCCGTGCAACCAGACACGGAAGGATGGTGCGATGGGAGGTGGTTGAGGGATGGGAGAATGGGTTCTACTAGGTGCGGGAGAGGAGGGGGGAGTGGGGGGTTGGGGAGGGAGGGAGGGCATAAATGAGGGAGAGTGTGTGTGGATACAGCATAGAACGACAAGGGATGGAAGCGAAGAAACGCGAGGTTGTGGCTACAGGGTCGCAGGGTAACGGGGTAACGGAGGCACAGGGTTGCAGGGTCACAGGGTTACAGGGTTTTCGGATAACAGGAGGTACAGCACAGCAGAGTTTTAGAATGTTACAGGACAGTGGAGTGGACTCACGCGCACGAGGCAGGCGGGTCCCACACGATGCCGGGTATGATCACGAGCTGAGGGGGGAATGGGGAGGGGCGGGGATGGACGGAGCGGAGAGAGGGACGAGGGAAGGGAGTGGCACAAGTCAGCAGCTTCACGCGCACGAGGCAGGCGGGTCCCACACGATGCCGGGTATGATCACGAGCTGAGGGGGGGATGGGGACGGACGGAGAGGGGAGAGGGGCAAGCGGAGGGGGGAGAGGGACGAGGGGAGGCGGAGACGTACGGGAAGGGAGGAGAGATGGACGAGGGAAGGGAGTGGCACAAGTCAGTGGATTCACGTGCATGAGGCAGGCGGGTCCCACACGATGCCGGGTATGATGACGAGCGGAGGGGGGAATGGAGATGGACGTAAACAGTGTGAAGGGTAAGACGAGTGGGAACAGAGGAGAGGCCAGAGGGGACGTAAACAGTGTGTTGGGCGCAAGGAGAAGGAGACTAGGAAGAAAGAAGTTTAGAGTAAGGGGGCAGACATTTGGAGCACACAAATGGAAAGGTGGTGAAAGGGGCGAGAGGGGCAAGAGGGTTGACTTGAGGACAAGGGACGGTTGACGTGAGGGCAAGGGAGGGTTGACTTGGGAAACTAAGGGAGCCAAATTGTTGCATACGAATGCCAACAACTACCAATCAGCATAGAAAGGTCGACGATATCCACTTTCAAACGTGTTCCCAGTTCCATGCCTTCCCAGGCCCAGCCAACTCCTGTCCGATGCCAAACGCACCCATCCTACATCCAACAAAGTGATCGAGCCGAGCCTTTCCCAGTCGTACCTCGTCAAACTTCCCCGCGGGACTCGAGTCGTACTACGCATAGTAGACCCCGCCCAGGGTGTACCTGAGGGGTGATGGGGGTGATGGGGGAGTAGGAGTGGTGTGGGTAGGTACTGAAAGGCACAGCGGGGCGAGCCGTACTGTGCAGAATAGACCCCACCCAGGGTGCACCTGGAGGGTGAACCTCTCTCCTGAGAACCTCTACAACCCAAAGCACCGCTCTGCAACCCGGAGAACCACGCTAGGACCCCAAACACCACTCAAAGACTCAGATTACCGCTCTGAAACCTACAGCACCCACCCGAAAGCTTCGACGAGCTTGAGCTCCGGAGGAACGACGCGGCGTGCCACGTCAGCCTTGACCAGGTTCAGCTGGTACAACGCCCTGAGAGTGACAATAGCGGGTATTCCGAATAGAAAATATTGCGACTTGATTGTGACATTAGGTAGAAGGTGTTTCGGGTGGGGATATTGCGCCGTAAGGGTCACAATAGCGGGGTTCGCTAGGAAACGTCTCAAAAAGTCGCTCCGTGCGAGAACCTTCTCGATTCTTCCTCGTGTGGGATGGCAATCAATTGAGCGAACCAAAGTTAACGAGCCAGAGAAGCCACGTTAGATTGCTCCTTTCGCAACTACTCATTTCGCAACTGCTCCTTTCGCAACTGCTCCTTTCGCAACTGCTCCTTTCGCGACTGTTCCTTTCGCGACGATCCAGAAAGTCAGCACTCATGATTGACGGAATGCATCGTGGCCACCTCGATTCGGTTACACGTCACGAGAAGGACCAACCTGCCCTTGAAAATCCAGGGCGGACCGGCAGCGTAGCCGTCCTTCGGACTGCTGCCATTGCTGACGTCACCTCCACCAGCCATTCTTTCAGCGCGTACGCGTGGCTCGCGTTAGGGAGGAAAATGGCACGCCGTACGGGGAACAAGAGCCCTGTGCGCACGCAGCGGCGACGGAACGCAACGCGCGGCGAAAGAATCTATGGCGTTGGCTTTTGGCAGATGTACAGATAAAGCAGCGATGGGACATGTATGATCACGACAGAGTTGGCAGCTGCTCGTTTTCACACACTACCCTACTCCACGTTGTAGAGTTTCATTTGACCGCTCTTGAACGAGAAGCACCCACATGAAACGTAATAAGAGGTACATTGTAGCGAAGACAGCCGGGGTTGGTGTTGATGGTGTGGTGTGGGGAGGATGTGAAAGGGAGAAGAGTGTGCGAGGGAGATGATGTGTGTGTGGGAAGTGGATGTCGGGAGGGGAGTGTGTGTGTGGATGTGTGCGCCAATCACCTTTCGGAAAGCTTTCGAGCGAGACGCGATCAATCGTGATTGGACTGAGGAAATCTCCTCAATCCGTTTGTTTGTGGCCCTGGGAGCTTCGCGAAACATAACGCCACAAGTTATGCAAATACACCATACCAGAAAAAAACCCTGAAAACTAAATTCTTTCTACCACAGTATTGTTTCATAGAGGACCAAGCACATCCCTCGCCTCCTCCACCACATACGGCTCCATGGCCTGCCAAAGAACCTGCACAGATGATCCACTAAACCTCATGGCATTATTCTTCCCCCCAGCCCCCTTCTTCCATGCGCAGTCTTCCACTCTCGCACCCACCGCGGCTACAACCAGTGCCGCCTCCTTGGCCGAATACCCCTCTGCTCCAAAAACCAGGCTATAACCACCACCACCCTTGTTATCAGCGGATTGTTTCGCCTCTTCAGCCCTCGCCCCCACCGCCTCTTCCTCTCCCTCTCCCTCTACCTCTCTCCTTCCCTTGCCTCCATCCCCTCTAATAGCCCACCCATTATACATGAGCCACGTCGTCATGCCTCGGGGCGACAGCCACCGATGAATAAGACGAGGAACTGCCGCCTCACTGCCGCCCCGTTTGCCAGCCGCATCCCTCACTACGGGACGAAACTGCCGGGCGTAGAACTGCAAAGAGGGGTGCGCAATGGTAGCGAATGTGCGCACCCGAATGGTGTCGCCCCCATCCTCCACCTCCTTCCCCACATTCCCCTCTTCCTTCCCCACACCAACCCCCTCCCCTTCCGGAACTCCTCCCCCCCTTACAGTCACATCCACGGGCGGCGCAGCCACCCAGGGAAGAAACACCTCATACAGCCAGTCCAGCACCCGCATACGCCAATCCTCGCCGCCCGCTCCTATAGGCTGGGAGAAACTTATCGAGTACGACACGCCCCCATCTGTACTCTCCACCTCAGCCCCTGCTAACAGAGCCCCCACCAGCACCTGCCGCTGCTCCCTGGTTAGCCTTAGACCCATTGCCACATCCCCCTCCCCTGGCAAACCCGTCCCCCAGCCTCTCCCGGTCCCACCCATGCCACCTTCTCCTCCTCCGAAGAAGGGTGTTCCTTCTGCTGTGGATCCCCCTCGGTCCGCCACAACAGCAGCCCATGCCTCATCCCTTCTCACTCTTTCCACCCCCAGCAATCCCTCCACCGCCTCCCTCACTCGCCCCTGCAGGTTGAACCGCCTACCCCTCACCACCGCTCCTCCTCCCCTCTTCCCATCAATCCCCTCCGCCGCTCCCACACTCTCCCTTCCTCTCCCTCCCCTTCGACTGACAGCCCCAGCTACCATGCCGCCGGCCTCCTCCTCCTCCTCATTCTCACTCTCCCCTCCACTCTCTCCCTCCCACTCACTCTCCTCTCCCTCCTCCTCTCCCTCCCCTCCTGTCCTATGCACCCCACCGCGCACCCCCTCTCGCAGCATGTGCTCATACACTCTCTCCACGCCCGCCACATCCCCAGCCTCTGAAAGAGCCAGCAGCAGCAGGTCATACGTGCGCTGGTTGGGGGGACTCAGCACAGGCAAACGTCTCGTTTCTGAGTTTGCTCCCGACTCTGCAGCCTGCTTCGCCCTGGCTGCTGCTGCTGCTGATAGTGCCTCCTCCTCCTCCTGCCCCCTTCTCTCTTCCTCCATATCCTCGTCATCGTATTCATCATCCTCCTCCTCCTCCTCTTCACTCTCCTCCTCTTCCTCTTCCTCTTCCTCCTCCTCTGCTTCCCAGTCATCATTCGCCCCCTGTCCCTCCCTCCTCATCCACCCATGCCTCTCCCACTCCTCATCACTCTCCTCCCACTCTCCTCTCCCCACCCTCCCTCTCTTACCCCTTCCTCGCGTCCAACTCTCCGCCACCCCTTTCCCTCCTCGCACCATCCCCCTTACTCCCCTCAACCCACCCTCTCCTCCCTTTCCCACACCTCCCTCTCCCACTCCTCTCAACCCTCCCTCTGCAGCGCCTCGCATCCCACCATACAGCTCCCACGCGCCCTCCCAGTCACGTGCCAGAAGGTGGGTGTGCAGGCGAAGGTTGCATGCCTCACTGCTGGCCGGGCATCCAAAGGAAGCCATCTCGGTGAACACACGCACTGCTGCATCCCTCGCCGATGCTGCTGCTGATGGTGCTGCTGCTGCTGCTGCTGCTGGTGATGGTGATCGTGGTGGTGGTAATGATGTCTGTGGTGGTGGTGCTGATGGTGGTGGTGGTGGTGCTGCTGCTGCTGGTATATCCGGCGCACTAGCACCAGCACCCATGCCCAGGCTCACATGCATCCTCAGCACCGCATTGAACCCTTTGGTAAGTGGCCTCATGCCCTTTTCACCCATCTCCCTTACCACACCCTCTGCCGCCTCCACCTCTCCCGCCCCACTCAACGCCTCCACATACACGTTATACGCCCGCAGGCTCGGCCGAGCCTGCCACGCCGGTCCGGCCCCGGACCTGCCGCCTGAACCAGCAGCTTCGGCACCTCCAGCAGCAGAACCAGAAGCGACAGCAGAAGAAGAAGCAGCAGCTTCGGCTGATTCAACCACCTTCGGCCATACACTCACTGCTTCTCGGTATCTCTGCGCTTTACTAAGCACTTCCATTAAGGCCACTAGAACTTCCTGACTCGGCCGAAACCCGGCCTCTTCCACCTCCCTCACTCCCCTCGCTGCCCGCTCGGGCAGGCCCGTCAGCACCCCAAACACTTCTCTGCTGCCCGGGCCGAAATTCCCCTGCTGCCCGAGAGGTCCCTGCGAGTGGTACGCCCGAGCGCAGGCAATCACCGCCGCTTCTAGAGCAGGAGCCGGGATCGGGAGCTTAGCTAAGCGCATCTTAGCTAAAAGGGCGTCGACTTTGTCAATATCTCCCAGGCAGGCCAGCTGCTGTGCTAAGCGGGAGTGCATGAGGGGGGTGGTTGGGGCTCCTAGGGAGGACAGGTCTTTAAGTAGCTGCTCCAGCTTGCTGACGTGGCGGCCGCGGGCCGATGGGCGGCTGAACGCGTCATATAGCTCGTAGAGAAGCTTCGAGGAAGGGGGGGAGGAGGGGGAGGAGAGAGAGGAGGAAGAGGAGGGGGAGGAGGGATAGGAGGGAGAGGAGGGCGCGGATTCTGCGAGGGGGTTAAATGCTGCTTGGGGAATTTGTCCCTCTGCTGATGGTAGTGGTGGCACTGATTGTGAGCTCCCTCCCAAGCCATGCATCATACCATACACCTCCCATGCACTCTCCTCCAGTCTCACCATCTCCTCCCTCATCCTCCTCCCCATGCCTCTCGCCCCATTCCCTTCCCCCTCCTCCTCCACCACTCCACTTTCCCCTCCCCTTCCCCTCCCCCCTGCCCTTCCCCCTCCCCGTTTCCCCCCGCTCTTCCCCCCACGCCTCCCTCTGCTCCCCCCCCCTCCCTTCCCGCCTACCCATTTCCACTCTTCCGCCCGTTTCGCGGCGAGGAGCAGCGACCGGATTACCCCTTCAAAAGCAGGGCGAGACGGGGAAACGCCCTGGGGGAGCGCGGAGGAGAGGAGGGGGAGCATGTGGCGGATCTTCCCCTGGGCGGCCGCGGAGAGGAGGAGGGCGGAGAGGATAGGGGGGGAGGCGGAGGGGGAGAAGAAGGGCGTGTGCAGCGCCCATTGAAAGACCTGTGGGGGGGAATGGGGAAAGGTGGGCAAAGGGGGAAGGGGGACAAAGTAAGAAGCGCCTCAAAAGGCGGAGGGGGAGAAGAAGGGCGCATGCAGTGCCCACTGGAAGACCTGTGGGGGGGAATGGGGGGCAAAGGGGGCAAGGGGGGGAAGCGCAGAGTAGGGGAAGGAATAAGGAGACGGGAAGGCGATGGAGACATGGAAGAGAGAGAGAGAAATGGCGACTATTATCTTCCCATTTTCTGGTTTCTCGTTTCTCGTTTCTGGTTTCTGGTTTCTCGTTTCTGGTTCATGATTCAAGGAATATGGTTGGCAACTTGGCATACATACACCTCAGGGCTTCTGGTCTGTGGTTCATGCTGATGCCTAGTGAAGCGAGGTTGTTTTTGAGACGTCTCAAAAACAACCTCGCTTCTCAGGGTGTCTGGTCTGTGGTTCATGCTGATGCCTAGTTCAACCCAGCAACGTCTGCCACTCACCCGTATCCCGCGAACCACCTCCTTCCTCGCTATAAGGCTCTCCACTACAGCGATCAGGTCGCCCATGCGCATCCACTGCTTCTGTGTGTTCAGCAGCCGCACCAGCGCACTCGGCACCACCGCTGCCACCTCTCGCGCAAGCCACCCCACCTTCCGCCTCCGCCACTCCTCCCCGCCCGCCTCCCCCTCACTCCCCCCCAAACCCCCGCTTAAACCCTCCTTAACACCCCGGCGCAGCTCGCTACGCAAGCTCCTCGAGTCCGTTATCAAGGGCGTGCTACCCCTGGCAGGAAAACTCTCTGCTGCAAAACTCTTGCCTGCAGCTACTAGTGGCAGAAGCTCAGAACCCTCGTCTAAAACCCTGTTTCCAGGAGTCTTTAAGTTTGTTAACTTCCTAGAACCCTCGTTCTTCTCTTTGGCGGAACCGTCCTTTAATTCGTACATTGTCTCTTCCTCCTCCTCCTCTTCCTCCTCGCCTCCCCAAAACCCCTCAACCTCTTCTCCTCCACCCTTTCCTTCTTCCCAATCTTTACCCTCCCCTTTCAAGCCCCACTCGTCCCCTTCGATCCCATCGTCCTTTCCCAAATCCGAACCCCATTCATAAGCATCCGGTTGCTCCACTGCTAACGGATCCCATTCTATCCCCCATGGAATATCATCAGACTGGATCTCTTTCCTCGAATCTTCCTCGCCGTCGCGCCAATCGCCCCGTTCGCCCCACCGTCCCCTTCTTGGCTGCGAGATTGACTCTGCTAAGCCGCTCGTCGCTCCTCCCCTCCATGCTTCCCCCGCTCCTCCCCTCTCTCCCCTCCCGGGCCCCCTTGCTTCCCCGCGTCCTCTTGAACTCCTCCCGCCTAGTCCCCCCCGCCCGCCTCGCGCCCCGCGCCAGCCATCCCCGCGCCCACCTCGTTCCCCGCCCCAGGCTCCCCCCTGGCCCCTGCCCCCCGCGGGAGCCCTCCCCGCGGGCCTACCTTCCGCAGGCTCCCTGCGTCGTTCCCCGCCCCATCCTTCCCCGCGCCCGCCTCTTCCCCCTGCCCATCCCCCCTCCCGCCCTCGCCCCCGCCCAAAAGCCCTTCCCGCCGGTATGCGCTCCCCGTCACTCCCGCCGGAACTGTACCGATCTCGGCCGTACGATCGCCCATCGTACGCCTCCTTAGATCCGTACGGCCTGCTGCCGTATGAGACGGCATCGCCCCGCTGACTAAAACCCCCTTGGCCCCGTCGCGCTGGCGACTGAAACGACTCTGAAGACGTCCCTAATCCCCTTCGAACGCGATCCGGCACATCTAAAAGCGTCCGCGGCGGCTTGTCGCTATCCGTTCGCCATCCTCCGTTATAAGCACGCGCACTACTGTCACCAGACCAACGCGTTCCGGAATCGAAGGAACCTTTCTCTCCGCCACTATAATCATCCTCGCTATAATCAGCGCCGTTTCTACCCTGCGCATACCCTCGATCCGCTCCCCCTTCCCGCTTCCAAGCCGTCCGCTCGTCATAACCCCTTCCGCCTCCCCCTCTTCCCCCCGCCCGTCCGCCTCCCCTGCTCCCCCCCCTACTCCCTCCGCCTTTTCCCCTACCGCCCGACCTCCCCCCTTCCCATCCCCGACCAGCATTCTCGGCGGGAGACCTTCGGGGGGTGTATCCGGGGCCATCGCGCCCGTCTCGTTCCCCGCGCGCGCCAAACCTTCCGCCACCGTTGGATCGCGACTGGTGTCCTTGCCCTTCGCTTTGAGCGGCAAGAGATTCTACCTTGAGCGGAAAAACGCTTGCATTTGGCAAGTTTGGGGGGAAGGAATGTCCGGGAAATGCGGCGATCGAAGGGATTGAGGGGAATAAGTCAGTCTTGCGCAAGGCTTGACTATCAGAAATAGACTTGCAGGGGATCCTGCTGGGGAAAATGCCTAGCGGCGTCGTAGAGACTAGATTGGCCGCCATCGGAAAGAAATGGCAGACAAGAATGAACGAGGGGAGATAATTTTGGTGGCGTGTGAATGCTGAACGTGATGAGGAGTTTTGGGTTTCGGGCTTCGTCAGTAATTCGTTCAAGTTGGATTCGTTGTTTGCATAAGTTCGGGCATGTGTATCATGTGAATGAAGATAGGGATAAATTTAATGGCAGGTCAAACGAGTGCACACACATGAGCGCGCACACGCACGCACACACACACACACACACACACATACACACACACACACGCACGCACGCACACACACACAAACACACACACACACATACACACACACACACACACACACACAGAAAAACACACATGCATGCACGGCACGCATACACATACACACGCACGCCTGCGCGCGCACAGGCACACACACGCACGCACACCCACATACAAACCCCCCTCCTTCCCCAAAAAACACACCCGCCGTGTGTGAAGAAGAGTCGCTACGGTATGTACATTCTCTTGGTGATTACCGTCCTGGGCTTCTGGGCTCTCAGGCGGCACCTTTAATCGTTCAGAGGCAAAGAAAGTTATTCAGACGCCAGATTCCACAAGTATGATACATTGAGGCCACGAGCGCATGGGCAAGACATGTGAGGCAGGGGGCAACCATTGAAGTAAGGAGGTGGCAGAGACCAGTCCGGCAGTAATCCACTGTTTGTACTGCTGTGCACTCTTGGACTGGTTTCCGAGAAAGATTTCAGGTCAGGCCGCTGCAATAGTGATCAATCGTCTACGCACTACTGTGCAGAGGTAAGACGAACCGCGATCCCAAGCGTACCGGTAGGCTTGTTCGTGAGACAGTTCGTGATGTGTGGTCTCAGTAAATTCAAAACCAAGGCTGAGGTTAGGCAGCAAGAGGTTGACTAGATCCCAACAGGCTCAGCCGAGGCGGAGGAAGGTGATCTCAGGTACACATGCCATGCTCTGATTCGCCAGGTGGGGGCTGAATAGGCTGGGAAAGCAAGAGAGCCAGGCAAGAAGGAGATCGCTTGCAGACGAGGGGCGGCGCCAGCCAGACTGTCGGGAAGAAGCTATGGATGAGTCCAAAAACCTTGTCTGGCTTGTCCGGTCACTCAATCGAAAGGCCGAATGACCCAATCTCCTAGTCCCGCGCCACCAGGAGGAATAATTGAAAAGAGGCGTGCAGGCGAGGCTTCAGACACAGGTTTCTGTGAAATCCAGGCAAGAGGACCAAAGGTCACCCAAGAGGAGGCTGGCTTTGGGTAGAATGACTTTCGAAGCTGTGGCTGCCGGACGAGATTGGAACCATTCAGCCGAACCTCCTGGATGCTCGGAAGCTTCCCTAAGTTCCCTGGCAGCCCAGGTAAGCATGGGAGATGCAAGAGTTTCAGGTGCGTCAGGCTCTTCATTCTTTCACTGCCCAGGCCGTTGGGCAGAGATCGGAGCTTCGGGCAGTCTGAAACTGACAGTCGCTGGAGTTGCGAGAGGAGAAGCAGTGTTGGTGGGATTTCCGTGATGCAGTCACTTGAACAGACTTCGAGATTCCTCAGCCCCTTCATGTGCCCGATGTTCTCGGGCAGAGACTGAAAATTGTCACATCTTTGAATCACAAGACGAGTCAGTGTCTGCAGAGCTGTCAGGGACTCGGGCAGCTGCAGCAATCTCCTGCATGCCACCAGCTCCAATGTTTTCAGCTCGGGCAGCTGGCCGAATGTATCTGGCAAGGAGGCAAGCGCCGGACAGCCAATCAGGGAGAGGGTGTGGAGGTTGGGGAGGAAGGAGAGGGAATCTGGAAGATATACCAGAGAGAAGCATTGGTCGATCCTCAATGTCTCTAGGTTCTCAAGGTTTCCCAGGGATAGTGGCAAATGAGGTAGACAGTAGAGACTAGATAGTTCTAATTGCCTTAGCGAGTGCAACTCGCCTAGATTCTCGGGCAGCAAAGGAATTCTGGAGGAGGAGACTTTCAAGGTGGTCAGAGATGGCAATTGGCAGAGATTCTCGGGCAGATTGGCGAGAGTTGGACAGTCAAGGGAAACCAGACGGAGACTGGGCAGCTGCTGTGCTGAAATGTCGAAAAGAGAATGCAGTTTGCTGCATGATGACAGGACCAGTTCTTGCAGCAAACAGAAATCTCCTAGGGATTCAGGTAGCCTTTCTAGTCCATAAGATATGAGCTTGAGGGATTTAAGGGACGATGCCAGACGGGAGAAGTCTATCGGTAAGGAACTGTAACCGTTAACGGAGAGTCGTAAATGGGAGAGCCGGTTTAAACGGAAAAGGGAAGTCGGAAACGAGGAGATGGACGACCGGAGAGAGAGCGATACGTCAGTCAGATTTATACAAGATTGGAAGAGAGAATCGAGGCCAGAATTGTCGTCGCCGCCGGTAGTAGCAGGCAATCTGCTGATGGATGACTTTTGAGTCGACTCAAAAGTCGATGCGTCACTCAAATTCGTGCAAGATTGGAAGAGAGACTCGAGGCCAGAATCTTCATCGCAGGTAGTAGATAATCCGTTGCTGGCCGAAAAGATGGGTTGGGGTGGTAATATCGAGGTTTTAATCTCGTCAAGCTGGAAGCAGGTGAGATTAGTACTGAAGGAACAGCAACCGAGCTCGCGGAAAAATCCGCAATCCGTAACGTCGACGCTACGCTTCGCGAGATGGATACTCGTGAGATTAGGAAAGTGAGAGAGGGAGCGGAGGAGGTAAGATGCCGAGAGTCGTCGGCCTTCTGCCACGTGGATGGTGGTTTGTACGAGGCGTGAGACGCGCAGCCATCGCTTGCAGGCTAGCGCGTGGTTAAACTGACATGGATTGCGCGACGATACGAGGCGGAGAATAAGAGCTAGTATCTCGTCAGGGAGATTGTCTACATGGCTAACAGAGATGAAGGAAGTGGTTTCAGCCATGGCGAATCAGTTAGTAGTAGCAAGCTTTCAGGAAAGCTCTGTCAGAAAATGGATTCCAAACCAGGGTTGTTCTGGTTTTTGCTGGTCGTAGATATCACAGACGGATGCTGGATGGGAACGGGATGCGATTTTGGTCTGTGAGCGACGACAAGCGAAGTGAGTGGCGACGTGCAAGTTGGGTGTGAACACGTCAGAGAATGAAGGGCTGCCTCCCTGCCAGCTTGCACTCCCCTCTAAAAATCAAAATTTCGGACATTTCGGGACAAAAAATTCAATAGGTTGCAGTCGCTGTGTGCTGCGTCGCACATCACGGGACGGGAATCACCGCATCTTCCCCCGCCCCGACTCTTGCAGCAGGCTAGCCGCAGAATGTTCTGCTCCAAACCAATGCCAGACTCCAGGCGGACGCTTGATCCTAGGCCCAACTGACGCTGTACAGTGGCCCCCGCAGGTCGAACAGAAACAAACAAGCTTCGTGAAAAAATGTTCTCGACCACGTGTCCGACCACTTTCCGTTCGGTGCAGTGCTCTCGATGTGTTTTGGGAAGCTCTGCCAGATCAATGCTTTCATCTTCGTTCACCCATACACGAAAGTGCTAAACATATCGTTTCTGAAATGGAGGGGTATTGGCACTTATGAAGAAAAAAAACTAACCTTCAAATGTACCCCCCAAACGGCTGAAGGGGTGTCATGTTTACGGCGCAGTGTCTGCGCATTTATCAAACTGCGCTGTCATGTCATACCGTTTTGGGTCATTTTGCTAGTACTGTATGATCAAAAAGCTGAGATCTTGGGTGGTGCCTCGTCAGATAATACATAGATACTTGGCCGGGTTTTTCACCGCTTGGTCGGCCCTTTCAAAATATAGGCTTCTCCGAAACTACGTTCAACCTCTGAAATTCGTCAGGACATACAACACGCTGAACTTTGACTTGGGAAAATTGTAGGGGGAAGCGAGTCAAAAATCTGAGAGTGAAGATGGTAAGTGGCTAACTTGGGGTACAGTACACAAGAAGTCCTGAGCGGAAAAACTTTGACTCGGAATCTCGGCCCTCGTGAATCGACGGTCGATGGTGATCCCACATGTGTGCGCTGGTCATCCACCTACATCGCTTGACCAAATGTCAAGGAAGCGCCTCGATGGACGACCAATTCGTATTTCGACGAAACTGGATGATGGTTGCTGCGCTGCTGGGGACGGAAGTAGAGAGAGATGTGACTGGATACATTCACATTACAGTGCAATGTACTTCAAGATAAAAAACACGCACACACACAAAAAGGTTTTGAGGAATTTGACCTTTCATCACTTTCGTTTTCCTTGTATCTTACATTGGAGGGTGTGACTTACCCAAATGAGGTGCTTCTACATACCCAACGTTTGTCTCTCCATCTCTTATCACGGGTCCACTCCAATATTCCTTGCCATGAGCAAACCAGAGTCGGGTGGTGTCATCATACCGTCAGCCCCCGGATAGAAGCGCCCCTGGGGGTATACAAAAACACTGTTTTTTAGGGGGTGCGCTTATAATTGAGGAATTTTATAAGCGCCGGCACTTATAAAATTGCAAAAATAATTCCTATTTGATTTACACCAATATGTAGATCTCGTTCTGCCGATTGTAATCGAGTCGAAACCATAGAGGGTCACGAATCTGATTCTCCCGCAACTTGGCAGGGAGTGATTCCCTGCCAACTCATACTGACAGAATGACAACACATGCTGACTAGACGCGCAAAAAGTGAGATCAGAGTGGGAAATCGAAATTGTAGCTCGTTTCCCTGATAATGTGAAATTCGTTTCTGTATTTCGACAGGATTTCAAATGTAAAACCAACATGCGCTTATAATAAATCATATTTTTCTAGGGGGTGGGCTTATAATCGAGGACCGGATATAAACGCCGTCATCCTTTTATAAGCGCCGGCGCTTATCCGATGCCTGCGCTTCTATCCGGGGGCTTACGGTACATGTCACACGGGTTCGTTTTAGACTGCTTCACTGTGTCAATTCTAGAGTCTATGCATGCCAAACTAAGTCGATTGTTCAACGAACCTCCAATCTGAGGGCGCGTCACATTGTCCGGGTCGACGAAGGATGGGGTTCCTAACCGAACCTGCTATCGACCAGAACACCGGAGTCCCACTGCATCTCTAGGCAAACCGGGCAACTTCACGGTTAACAAATGTAAAGTGGTACTGTGCACGAGTCCCACCGACCCTCCGGAGCATCACTCTTATTCGTGTGACATGTCTTTCGTTGTCCTTTTTTTTTGTCCACGCACAGGTACTAACATCCTAAGGAGTAATTGTACAGTTCTTTATAAAGTGTATCCACCATGTCATGCCACTCTAACAGTGTCATCAATAAACACCACCTTGCCTTCCCCATGGAGCCGCCCTAAAGCCTCCCGCACCTGGCGTGGCAAGACAATGAAGGCAAAGAAAAGGAGGCACACATTCATAAGGGGGAGGCACGTGAAATTCACAAGAGCCACACGAGTGCATTGCAACCGTTGATGAGTCAGCTGAATATTTCATTGAATGGGACGGACTGATGGACTTTTGAGTCGACTGAATAGCTGACTTCTAAGACTCGAAAGACAAATATTGCGTCGAGTGGGATGGACTGACGGAGATCTAGCAGTCAGAGGATGGTGGAATGGAGGGGATATTGACGGAGTGTTTCTGAGAAACTTCAGGGTATGAAAAACTCACCTCGAAGAGGGTAACAGGTATGGATGATTGCTGCCTCAGGTCCTCCCACACCTGTGAATGCGGTGCAAATAGATAAATTTCGGTGGCAATGGGAAGAGGAGGGCACACAAGGGTGGAAGGAGAGGAAAGCGTTCTTCAGCTGCACATTCCCGGCCCTCCCTCTCACTGGCACGGCACGCCAGCAGACACACACCAACCAGGCCAACATGCAACAGCTACCTGAGGCGCCTGGAAAGAGGAGCGGGAGGAGGAAGTTCGATCCTGCAGGAAAGAGAGCAGGGCGCCATGCAGCTGTGTTCGCTTGGCCCGCTCACTGGCACCCATGTTTCCATGCCAACACACATGTAGCCGTATCCCGTACCTGAGGCGCCCGGAAGGAGGAGCGGGAAGCAGTAGCTCTGTCGTGCAGGAAGGACAGCAGCGCCTCCTGCAGCTGCACCCGCTTGGCTTGCTCACTGGCTGACACGCCCGTGGTGATGAGATCCATGTCGATGGTGTGTGGTGGTGCCTGTGGTGGTGCCTGTGGTGGTGCCTGTGGTGGTGCCTGTGGTGGTGCCTGTGGTGGTGCCTGTGGTGGTGCCTGTGGTGGTGCCTGTGGTGGTGCCTGTGTGTTCTCAGCCCTACCTGAGGTGCGCGGAAGGAGGAGCGGGAGGCAGTAGCCCTATCCTGCAGGAAGGAGAGAAGGGCTTCCTGCAGCTGCACCCGCTTGGCCCGCTCTCTAACTGACACGCCCGTGGTGATGAGATCCATGTCCATGGTGCCTGTGGTGGTGCCTGTGGTGGTGCCTGTGGTGGTGCCTGTGGTGGTGGCTGTGGTGGTGCGTGTGTGTTCTCAGCCCTACCTGAGGCGCTCGGAAGGAGGAGCGGGAGGCAGTGGCCCTATCCTGCAGGAAGGAGAGCAGCGCCTCCTGCAGCTGCACGCGCTTGGCCCTCTCGCTCGCTCGCCGACACGCCAGTGGTGATGAGATCCATGTCCATGGTGCCTGTGGTGGTGCCTGTGTGCCTGACAGGGCTAGTTGAAAGTACCTGGGGTGCTCGGAAGGAGGAGCGCGAAGCGGTAGCCCTATCCTGCAGAAAAGAGAGCAGGGCTTCTTGCAGCTGCACCCGCTTGGCCCGCTCACTGGCTGACACGCCTGTGGTGATGAGGTCCATGTCGATGGTGCCTGTGGTTAGAAGTACCTGGGGTGCTCGGAAGGAGGAGCGCGAAGCGGTAGCCCTGTCCTGCAGGAAGGAAAGGAGAGCCTCCTGCAGCTGCACCCGCTTGGCCCGCTCACTGGCTGACACGCCAGTGGTGATGAGATCCATGTCGATGGTGCCTGTGGTGGGGTCCGTGGCTGACTGCTGCATTGCCACGTCTAGCAGGCGCCTCGCCTCTGTCACGTCGTCATGGGTCACCTGTGGGGGAGTAAGGGAGTGAGGTTGGAATGACGGAGTGAATGAAGGAGGGAGTGAGGGAGGGAGTGAGTGATTGAGTGAGAGAGTGAGGGGGAAAGCACGCGGGTGCCGGTGTGCCCGTGGTGATGAGATCCATGTCGATGGTGCCCGTGGTGGGGTCCGTGGCCGGCTGACTGCTGCATCGCCACGTCTAGCAGCCGCCTTGCCTCAGCCACATCCTCGTGAGTCACCTGGGGTTGCAACAGTGAAGGAGCGGGGGAGTCGGGAGTGGTGATGAGATCCATGTCGATGGTGCCCGTGGTGGGGTCCGTGGCCGGCTGACTGCTGCATCGCCACGTCTAGCAGCCTGCGTGCCTCTGTCACGTCTTCGTGTGTCACCTGGCATCAGCACAAGGGGGCAAGGCGAGTGCACATGGGTCAGTTGAGTGAGTGAGGGAGTGGGCGATGGAGTGAGAGAGGGAGTGAGAGAGGGAGGGAGAAGCGAGTGTCAATGGGTGGACTGTGCCAGTGGTGACGAGGTCTATGTGAAAAGTGCCTACAAGGTCCATAGTCCCCCCTTCCCTCTTTTCTTCCTCCCTCCCCTCCCCACCCTTCCTCGGCCCCCCTCTGTCCTCTCCTCCCCCTAACCCCTCTACATCCCCCCTCCTCCTCCCTCCTCCTCAACTCACCGTGGAAGCCAGCTTCAAGCGTGCGAGGGCTTCGCTGATGCGGATCAGACTCTCCAGCTGACGTGGCGTAGCAGTGATGACCTGGCATGGGTGACGTGGCAGGGAGAATGGCGCGGAGAGGCATGTCAGGCAGGTAAACGTTCGTGTGCAGGCATGGGCCCATCCCATCCATGCGTGGGTACGAGTGAGCGTATGCAAGGTGAGCATGCACGAGTAGCATCAACACTACCACACCGCCATGCACCACCCTCCATCGCAGCTCCACATATGCAACTCCTCAGCTGCCTCCCTTCCTAGCCACCCCTACTTCCCGTTTCCTTCCCTTCACACGTACCTTTCGCCCCGACCCCCGCCCCCGCAGCTCCACATACACGTTCACCAGCTCCTGTGCCACCTCGTCGCTCAGTCCCACTCCATTCCACCCCCCACCTCGTCCTCTCTCCCTTGCTCCCTCACCTTCCCCCTTCTCACCTTGCGCCCCGACCCCCGCCCCCGCAGCTCCACATATGCATTAACAAGCTCCTCTGCCGCCTCGTCGCTCAGCTCCGGGTGGATGCGCGTGCGCGCATAGGTGACGTATGATGTCAGTGTTGCCACGTCGATGGTGGCGGATGCAGAGGCCTGGGACGGGAAGAGGAGACGGAGAGCGGGGAACAGGGGGATAGAGAGGGATGAGCGTTCACCAGCTCCTCTGCCGCCTCGTCACTGAGCTCTGGGTGGATGCGAGTGAGGGCGTATGTGATGAGGTGAGTGTTGCCACGTCGATGGTGGCGGATGCAAAGGCCTGGGTGCGAGGGGACGGATGGGCAGGAGGGAAACAAAAGGACGGTTGAGCGATCACCAGCTCCCCTGCCGCTTTGTCACTGAGCTCTGGGTGGATGCGTGTGCGGCAGAGGCCTGAGAGGGATAGGCGGGGAGAAAGAACAGGTGAGGGATGAACTTGGGTGTTGTGCTGGCCAGATGGGCGTTCACTAGAGCCTCTGTTGCGCAGGTCACCGCACACACAGCGGTGCACCGCACCGCACACACAGCGGTGCACCGCACCGCACACACAGCGGTGCACCGCACCGCACACACAGCGGTGCACCGCACCGCACACACAGCGGTGCACCGCACCGCACACACAGCGGTGCACCGCACCGCACACACAGCGGTGCACCGTACCGCACACACAGCGGTGCACCGTACCGCACACACAGCGGTGCACCGTACCGCACACACAGCGGTGCACCGTACCGCACACACAGCGGTGCACCGTACCGCACACACAGCGGTGCACCACACCGCACCGCACGCAACACCTCTGAGTTCTTACGCCACCGCACACAATATCATGGCATCACACACACAGTACCTCTGCACCGTACGCACTACCTCTGCACCGCACACACTACCTCTGGGTTCTTGTAGTGCAGAGCGACAAGATGGCCGATGATTGAATAGAATTCCACCGCACATGGTACTGCACAGAACACCTCTGCACCGCACAGCACGCAGTACCTCTGGGTTCTTGTAGTGCAGAGCGACGAGATGGCGGGCTAACCGACGGTCGGATTGCTCCTCCGCCTTGTCGAGAACCAGATAGATGAGATCGAACCTGGTTGGACAGCACGAAAGAAAAACAAGGGAATGGGCATAGTGGAAAAAAGAAAAAAAGAAAAGAAAAGAAAAAATCCTTCTTGGCCTTGTTGAAATCAAGATGGATGAGACCGAACCTCGGCAGCTGAATGTTATCGATAACTGATAGGCACGGGTTGTAGCGCGAGCCAGAGTCAAGAAAGTCAAGCTAATTCAGACCCATACCTGGAGAGCAGGGTGGGCGGCAGCTGGATGTTGTCAATAACGGAGAGGCGCGGGTTGTAGCGCGATCCCGAGTCAAACAAGTCAAACTCGTTAAACCCATACCTAGAGAGTAGGGTAGGCGGCAGCTGGATGTTGTCAATAACAGAGAGGCGCGGGTTGTAGCGCGAGCCAGAGGGGTTGGCGCAGGCGAGCACAGACGTGCGCGCGTTGAGAGTGGCAATGATGCCCGCCTTGGCCACCGAGACAGTTTGCTGCTCCATCACCTGGTGTGGGGGGGGAGGGGAGAGAAGGGAGTCACATACACATAGTGAGCCAGAGGGGTTGGCGCAGGCGAGCACAGACGTGCGCGCGTTGAGAGTGGCAATGATGCCCGCCTTGGCCACCGAGACAGTTTGCTGCTCCATCACCTGGTGTGGGGGGGGAGGGGAGAGAAGGGAGTCACATACACATAGTGAGCCAGAGGGGTTGGCGCAGGCGAGCACGGAAGTGCGTGCGTTGAGGGTGGCGATGATGCCTGCCTTTGCCACCGAGACAGTCTGCTGCTCCATGACCTGGTGGGGGAAGAGGGGAGAGAGGGGAGTCACATACACATAGTGAGACAGACGGGTTGGCGCAGGCGAGCACGGAAGTGCGTGCGTTGAGCGTAGCGATGATGCCCGCCTTGGCCACTGAGACCGTCTGCTGCTCCATCACCTGATGATGGGAGAGGAAGGAAAGGGATGGTGTTGAGTTGGTAGCAGTGTCACACAGCTGTCACAGCTGTCTCAGTGCATTGAGCGTGGCGATGATTCCCGCCTTGGCCACTGAGACAGTCTGCTGCTCCATCACCTGGTGGGGGGAGAGGGAGTGCGTACAAATGGAGAAGAGTATGTACAAGCGTGAAATGTTTGGCATCACTAAAATAATTGCAATGTAGCCGGAGCCGAGACATGCGTGCGTTGAGGGTGGCGATGATGCCTGCTTTGGCCACTGACACAGTCTGCTGCTCCATCACCTGGTGGGTGGGGAGGGGGGCAGGGGATGGTGTTGAGTTGGTAGCAGGATCAACACAGCTGCCACAGCTGTCACAGCTGTCAAAGCTGTTACGGCTATCAACGCTGTCACAGCTGTCTCAGTGCGTTGAGCGTGGCAATGCCTCACTTGGCCACTGACTGACACCGTCTGCTGCTCCATCACCGGGTGTGGGGAGAGGGGGTTGATGTTGTGGGTGAAAAAGGGGAATTGATGCACACAGTGTTGAGCTGGTGCTAGTAGTGGGGAAGGTGGTGAGGTAAAAGGGATCTCACAGATGCCACAAATGCCACAGCTGTCTGAGCTCGTTGAGCATTGCTTTTGAGGCGCCTCACAAGTTGCTTTTGAGGCAACTCAGGTGACTTTTGAGTCGACTCAAAAGTCACCTCAAAAGTTGCTTCTGAGGCAACTCAAAAGAGGTAGAAGGGATCACACAGATGCCACAGATGCCACATGCTGCACGCACTGTCAGACATCTTATCAAACTCATCGATGCAGCAGATGCACCCACCCGCAGTGGCATATACTCCTCCCCTCCCCCGCCTTCCACTCCCTCACCCACCCTCACCTCATGCAGCATGCTGCGCGCACTGTCGGACATCTTATCAAACTCATCGATGCAGCAGATGCCCCTATCGCTCAGCACCAGCGCTCCACTCTCCAGCACCTGCAGGCGGGCAGGCAGGGGGAGGGGCAGATGAGAAGCAGGGAACGAAGCAAACACAGCTCGTCAGGCGTGCAGGCAGCAGGGTGATGCAGCAGATGCCCCTATCGCTCAGCACCAGCGCTCCACTCTCCACTCCAGGACCTGTGGTGCAGGCAGGCAGGGGAACGGGAAGAGAAAAAAGAGGCACGCAGCACCGCATTAAACCCAGACTTTCTCAGCTAGTGAATACAGGAGATGCCCCGGTGGCTCAGTTGTCGAATGCAGACAGGTGGGCTGCGGAGGTCTTACGTCCGTCCATCAACTCTTATGGTTAATAAAACGACAAGACAAACCCCATCAGCTAGTGAATACAGGAGATGCCCCGGTGGCTCAGCACCCACCAACCAGCGCGCCGCTCTCCTGGACTGGACTGCGTTCTGGTAGGAGCTACAGTGCTGTATTTGGCGCGCTGGTGGGCGCTGGTGGGCGCTGGTGGGCGCTGGTGGGCGCTGGTGGGCGCCCCCAAATACAGGACGTAGTCGACCGGGCATCTCCTGTATTCACTAGTGGCACCCACGGTGGTGAATACAGGACTGGACTACGTTCTGGTAGGAGTTAGGATTTGGGGCCCGCACGTAGGTATGGTGAGATACCGTGACCCGTACAACAGAACCGGCATCCATCGCTATTGCTGCTGTCGCTTTCAGGGCGGATCGTGATCTCACAGGAGTGCTCCTCGGTCAAATGGAACCCGGTCAAATTTTAAGCAGAGCACAAAGACCAAGCCACACCATTTCACGTGTTTCGGTTCGGGGTCCTTCGTCACGTAAGCAGTGAATTTTGAGGAGCTTAAAAAAATCGCCCCACAGTACTGCTGTCTATCGAGATCCCGCAGGGTGATCTTGTGCACATACTGCAGCAGCTGCGACTTGCTCGTGCCCGGGTTCCCCGCCACCCAAACAGACTAGACCAGAGGCAGAAGAGAAAGCTCACAATTTCGCGTGTTTCAGGGTCCTTGGTGACATATGCAGTGAGACCCACCGCACTGCTCCCTCTGCCACTCGTGTAGATGCCTCTGGGGGCGATCTTGTGCACATAATGCAGCAGCTGCGACTTGCCCGCTCGTGCGTCTACACACAAAGCAGCACCAGCAATCACCCAAACCCAGAGCAGAGAACTAGGGGACCCACCATCTCTCGTGTCTCAGGGTCTTTTGTGACGTATGCAGTGAGCCCCACGGCACTGCTGCCCCGGCCACTCGTGTAGATCCCTCGGGGGGCGATCTTGTGCACATACTGCAGCAGCTGCGACTTGCTCGTGCCCGGATCCCCCACCAGCAGCACGTTCATGTCTCCTCGGAACTGCACGCCTGATGACAGACGTTTTACCGAGCCACCGAAGAGCTGGAAGGGGGATGAAGGTGGAGCACGGGGAACAGAGTTAAGGTGAGTTGGGTAGAGCACAACAAGTGGAGTCGGGTCCCCCACCAGCCGCACGCTCATGTCACCGCGGAACTGCACTCCGGATGACAGGTGCTTCACTGAACCTCCAAATAGCTGGAAGGGGGAGGACAGTGGGGCATGGGGGATATGCGGATTAAGAGTAGGGTACCAAGCCCAAGTTGGGTCCCCCACCAGCCGCACGCTCATGTCACCGCGGAACTGCACTCCTGGTGACAAGCGCTTGACGGAACCCCCAAACAGCTGCAGGAAGGAAGAGGGGCAAACAGAAACGTCTAGTCAAATAAAGTCAAGTAAAGTAAAGTCAAGTCAAGCAAGGCATGCTCGTGCCCGGGTGGGTCCCCCACCAGCCACACGCTCATGTCACCGCGGAACTGCACTCCTGGTGACAAGCGCCTCACTGACTTCTGAGGCGCCTCATAAGTCCCCGCGGATGAGTTTTGAGACGTCTCAAAACGCCTCATAAGTCCCCGCGGATGAGTTTTGAGACGTCTCAAAACGCCTCATAAGTCCCCGCGGATGAGTTTTGAGACGTCTCAAAACGCCTCATAAGTCCCCGCGGATGAGTTTTGAGACGTCTCAAAACGCCTCATAAGTCCCCGCGGATGAGTTTTGAGACGTCTCAAAACGCCTCATAAGTCCCCGCGGATGAGTTTTGAGACGTCTCAAAACGCCTCATAAGTCCCCGCGGATGAGTTTTGAGACGTCTCAAAACGCCTCATAAGTCCCCGCGGATGAGTTTTGAGACGTCTCAAAACGCCTCATAAGTCCCCGCGGATGAGTTTTGAGACGTCTCAAAACGCCTCATAAGTCCCCGCGGATGAGTTTTGAGCCGTCTCAAAACGCCTCATAAGTCCCCGCGGATGAGTTTTGAGACGTCTCAAAACGCCTCATAAGTCCCCGCGGATGAGTTTTGAGACGTCTCAAAACGCCTCATAAGTCCCCGCGGATGAGTTTTGAGACGTCTCAAAACGCCTCATAAGTCCCCGCGGATGAGTTTTGAGACGTCTCAAAACGCCTCATAAGTCCCCGCGGATGAGTTTTGAGACGTCTCAAAACGCCTCATAAGTCCCCGTGGATGAGTTTTGAGACGTCTCAAAACGCCTCATAAGTCCCCGCGGATGAGTTTTGAGACGTCTCAAAACGCCTCATAAGTCCCCGCGGATGAGTTTTGAGACGTCTCAAAACGCCTCATAAGTCCCCGCGGATGAGTTTTGAGACGTCTCAAAACGCCTCATAAGTCCCCGCGGATGAGTTTTGAGACGTCTCAAAACGCCTCATAAGTCCCCGCGGATGAGTTTTGAGACGTCTCAAAACGCCTCATAAGTCCCCGCGGATGAGTTTTGAGACGTCTCAAAACGCCTCATAAGTCCCCGCGGATGAGTTTTGAGACGTCTCAAAACGCCTCATAAGTCCCCGCGGATGAGTTTTGAGACGTCTCAAAACGCCTCATAAGTCCCCGCGGATGAGTTTTGAGACGTCTCAAAACGCCTCATAAGTCCCCGCGGATGAGTTTTGAGACGTCTCAAAACGCCTCATAAGTCCCCGCGGATGAGTTTTGAGACGTCTCAAAACGCCTCATAAGTCCCCGCGGATGAGTTTTGAGACGTCTCAAAACGCCTCATAAGTCCCCGCGGATGAGTTTTGAGACGTCTCAAAACGCCTCATAAGTCCCCGCGGATGAGTTTTGAGACGTCTCAAAACGCCTCATAAGTCCCCGCGGATGAGTTTTGAGACGTCTCAAAACGCCTCATAAGTCCCCGCGGATGAGTTTTGAGACGTCTCAAAACGCCTCATAAGTCCCCGCGGATGAGTTTTGAGACGTCTCAAAACGCCTCATAAGTCCCCGCGGATGAGTTTTGAGCCGTCTCAAAACGCCTCATAAGTCCCCGCGGATGAGTTTTGAGACGTCTCAAAACGCCTCATAAGTCCCCGCGGATGAGTTTTGAGACGTCTCAAAACGCCTCATAAGTCCCCGCGGATGAGTTTTGAGACGTCTCAAAACGCCTCATAAGTCCCCGCGGATGAGTTTTGAGACGTCTCAAAACGCCTCATAAGTCCCCGCGGATGAGTTTTGAGACGTCTCAAAACGCCTCATAAGTCCCCGTGGATGAGTTTTGAGACGTCTCAAAACGCCTCATAAGTCCCCGCGGATGAGTTTTGAGACGTCTCAAAACGCCTCATAAGTCCCCGCGGATGAGTTTTGAGACGTCTCAAAACGCCTCATAAGTCCCCGCGGATGAGTTTTGAGACGTCTCAAAACGCCTCATAAGTCCCCGCGGATGAGTTTTGAGACGTCTCAAAACGCCTCATAAGTCCCCGCGGATGAGTTTTGAGACGTCTCAAAACGCCTCATAAGTCCCCGCGGATGAGTTTTGAGACGTCTCAAAACGCCTCATAAGTCCCCGCGGATGAGTTTTGAGACGTCTCAAAACGCCTCATAAGTCCCCGCGGATGAGTTTTGAGACGTCTCAAAACGCCTCATAAGTCCCCGCGGATGAGTTTTGAGACGTCTCAAAACGCCTCATAAGTCCCCGCGGATGAGTTTTGAGACGTCTCAAAACGCCTCATAAGTCCCCGCGGATGAGTTTTGAGACGTCTCAAAACGCCTCATAAGTCCCCGCGGATGAGTTTTGAGACGTCTCAAAACGCCTCATAAGTCCCCGCGGATGAGTTTTGAGACGTCTCAAAACGCCTCATAAGTCCCCGCGGATGAGTTTTGAGACGTCTCAAAACGCCTCATAAGTCCCCGCGGATGAGTTTTGAGACGTCTCAAAACGCCTCATAAGTCCCCGCGGATGAGTTTTGAGACGTCTCAAAACGCCTCATAAGTCCCCGCGGATGAGTTTTGAGACGTCTCAAAACGCCTCATAAGTCCCCGCGGATGAGTTTTGAGACGTCTCAAAACGCCTCATAAGTCCTCGCGGATGAGTTTTGAGACGTCTCAAAACGCCTCATAAGTCCCCGCGGATGAGTTTTGAGACGTCTCAAAACGCCTCATAAGTCCCCGCGGATGAGTTTTGAGACGTCTCAAAACGCCTCATAAGTCCCCGCGGATGAGTTTTGAGACGTCTCAAAACGCCTCATAAGTCCCCGCGGATGAGTTTTGAGACGTCTCAAAACGCCTCATAAGTCCCCGCGGATGAGTTTTGAGACGTCTCAAAACGCCTCATAAGTCCCCGCGGATGAGTTTTGAGACGTCTCAAAACGCCTCATAAGTCCCCGCGGATGAGTTTTGAGACGTCTCAAAACGCCTCATAAGTCCCCGCGGATGAGTTTTGAGACGTCTCAAAACGCCTCATAAGTCCCCGCGGATGAGTTTTGAGACGTCTCAAAACGCCTCATAAGTCCCCGCGGATGAGTTTTGAGACGTCTCAAAACGCCTCATAAGTCCCCGCGGATGAGTTTTGAGACGTCTCAAAACGCCTCATAAGTCCCCGCGGATGAGTTTTGAGACGTCTCAAAACGCCTCATAAGTCCCCGCGGATGAGTTTTGAGACGTCTCAAAACGCCTCATAAGTCCCCGCGGATGAGTTTTGAGACGTCTCAAAACGCCTCATAAGTCCCCGCGGATGAGTTTTGAGACGTCTCAAAACGCCTCATAAGTCCCCGCGGATGAGTTTTGAGACGTCTCAAAACGCCTCATAAGTCCCCGCGGATGAGTTTTGAGACGTCTCAAAACGCCTCATAAGTCCCCGCGGATGAGTTTTGAGACGTCTCAAAACGCCTCATAAGTCCCCGCGGATGAGTTTTGAGACGTCTCAAAACGCCTCATAAGTCCCCGCGGATGAGTTTTGAGACGTCTCAAAACGCCTCATAAGTCCCCGCGGATGAGTTTTGAGACGTCTCAAAACGCCTCATAAATCCCCGCGGATGAGTTTTGAGACGTCTCAAAACGCCTCATAAGTCCCCGCGGATGAGTTTTGAGACGTCTCAAAACGCCTCATAAGTCCCCGCGGATGAGTTTTGAGACGTCTCAAAACGCCTCATAAGTCCCCGCGGATGAGTTTTGAGACGTCTCAAAACGCCTCATAAGTCCCCGCGGATGAGTTTTGAGACGTCTCAAAACGCCTCATAAGTCCCCGCGGATGAGTTTTGAGACGTCTCAAAACGCCTCATAAGTCCCCGCGGATGAGTTTTGAGACGTCTCAAAACGCCTCATAAGTCCCCGCGGATGAGTTTTGAGACGTCTCAAAACGCCTCATAAGTCCCCGCGGATGAGTTTTGAGACGTCTCAAAACGCCTCATAAGTCCCCGCGGATGAGTTTTGAGACGTCTCAAAACGCCTCATAAGTCCCCGCGGATGAGTTTTGAGACGTCTCAAAACGCCTCATAAGTCCCCGCGGATGAGTTTTGAGACGTCTCAAAACGCCTCATAAGTCCCCGCGGATGAGTTTTGAGACGTCTCAAAACGCCTCATAAGTCCCCGCGGATGAGTTTTGAGACGTCTCAAAACGCCTCATAAGTCCCCGCGGATGAGTTTTGAGACGTCTCAAAACGCCTCATAAGTCCCCGCGGATGAGTTTTGAGACGTCTCAAAACGCCTCATAAGTCCCCGCGGATGAGTTTTGAGACGTCTCAAAACGCCTCATAAGTCCCCGCGGATGAGTTTTGAGACGTCTCAAAACGCCTCATAAGTCCCCGCGGATGAGTTTTGCGACGTCTCAAAACGCCTCATAAGTCCCCGCGGATGAGTTTTGAGACGTCTCAAAACGCCTCATAAGTCCCCGCGGATGAGTTTTGAGACGTCTCAAAACGCCTCATAAGTCCCCGCGGATGAGTTTTGAGACGTCTCAAAACGCCTCATAAGTCCCCGCGGATGAGTTTTGAGACGTCTCAAAACGCCTCATAAGTCCCCGCGGATGAGTTTTGAGACGTCTCAAAACGCCTCATAAGTCCCCGCGGATGAGTTTTGAGACGTCTCAAAACGCCTCATAAGTCCC